TCAGCAGCAAAATTACAAACGTTTCAAAAAGAAGCATAGTAGTATAAGTTTAGAATTCCGGATGCAACGTTAAGTGTTGGCAGTTTTTCTGTTTTTTTTTTTTTTTTTTTTTTTTGTTTTGTTTTGTTTTGTTCTGTTTTCCTCAGTTCATCATATTAATGTTCAGTTTTCTTACTAAGATAGCTTTAAAAAACTTTTTTTTCTTTTTATTATTAACATTTTGTGTGCCTGTGTGCTTACTTTATCTATTAAATCAATGGCGCTTACACCACATAAAGTTCGATTCAACAGCAAAATATCAGAACATTTAAAAACAGCATATCTTTAGAAATTCCAATAGACAGTCTCACGCGCTGGAGATAAAAATGCTTTGTTCCGACAGCCTTGCCTCTGTTTGCTTTGCAATCGTTGAGCTCGTTAATCAAGAATTCGTTAAAGCTTTACAAAATATGAAACAGACAATTAAACAAATTCAAAATTCGGGCTTCCGGGTGCCCATGTTCGGGTGAAGGACTACGATACTGAGCATTTTTGATGGCTCTAGGTACCGTTGTTTTTTCACAATGAGAGAAACATACCTACATTTATGCAAATTCTTCATTAATTTAATTTCTTTAAATACAGGGTGATTCTAAATTGCTTTTACATATTAAGAGGGAGGATAGTACCCATCCAGACGAGCAATAATTATCATAGAACATAGTATCGCATTCCACTCTGAGAGGCAGAAAAGAGGAAGTAGAGACGCATCGAAGAAGGACAAGGAGACTATCGAGAATTAACCGTATGCAAATTCGCACTGAGAAGAAGCAGCATTTTGCTCTTAATTGGTACCGGAGAAAGCCAATCAGAGCAAATGGTGTCCTTGAAAAAAACCACATCATCGCTTCAAGTATTAGGGCAGGTATCCTAGGTGATTACCTGGTAGGCCCTTACATCATGCCAAACCGTCTGACCGGCGTAACATACCATATTTTCTTCGAGCAAGTACTTCCCAGTTTATTGCAGGCTGTTCCGCTTCCCATTCAGAGAGACATGTGGTCTAGGACCTTTTCTTCTGAGAGCAGATGAAATCTTCATTGTAGGAAACACCTGTGGTCTAAGCATAAGATCTGATGGCGAGAATCGTTATTGCAGCAGACAAAATTAACACAACACCAGGAATCTTTGGGAGGGTGCGCCCAGACTTGACAGGACTAGAACCATAGCTCCATCCTATGGTAGGCGAAGCTTGGCAGGGTCCGTACTGGTACTGTCGTTTCTGTTGCCTTCGCTGTGGGGACGTTCTCATGTAGATATTAAGTGCTGTGTCGAGGGAGACGGCTCCCCGCGCAGCCCTCAGTGTGACTGATTGTGGCCATGAACATGAGAAGTCCCTGCAGGCTGTTCGGTGGGTTGGCGCCCCGCCGACACAGTCGTCCGAGTGGGGCTGTTAATCATGTTAAGACAGCTCTCTGAAGCAGCCAGGTAATGAATAGTCCCAAACTTGGTGTTAATGTACAACGACGCACGTGGTTGGCATTTTGAACACGTTCTGTAAGTATTTTACTAAACAGTAAATCTAATTGAGCAACTTTTGATCTCGTTCATTCGCTTTCCCAACACTGTTGCAAGTTCAGGATGGAATTCTAATGTTACTCTTTTCTGCCTCTCAGCGTGGAATGCGACCCTATGTGCTATGGAAATTATTGTTCGTCTGGATGGGTACCATCACCCCTAGGAGTTTGTAAAAGCAATTTAGAATCACCCTGTATAACACAGGGCGATAATATTTGGTGGCAATAACTTGAAAAATGCTACGCTGCTTACAATGGTTCAACGCTAAATGCCGTTTCGAGACTGATATTTCATTCAGGACCAACATCCCTTTTGGGCTGGAAAAAAACTGTATACTTGTAACTTGTGTACTTGTGACACCGATTTTCATCTTCTCGAAATCATTCTTACACTCAGGCCTGCCTTTAGCCATAGGCGACAAAGGCATCCGCTTAAGTGCCAGTCTATGGAGAGAAAAGCCAAGTTCTTATCACAAGCAACAATATCTCGGTAGAGTATTAAAATGCTACATTGAAACTGAGCTAAAGTCGGGCTGTCACCTATATGGTGCTCAAGGCTCTTGTCAACGACAATTTGGCGCATTTAACTCCTGTCAAGATGGATGTCGTCAACTTGTGCTGACCACTGTCAGACAAGTGAGATTGGTAACAACAACAAGTTGTTAAAGTATGTTTCCTTTCCATATTTTCATAAAGTTTATCGACTTTCGATAAATATTGATAATTTGGAAATCATTCCGCAAAAGGCATGAACTCGCCAACTTGCACCCTAAGAACCGGGATCTCTTTTTAAAATACTTTTTGAAAGAAACTAGATCGTATTTACATATATTAAGCACAAGAAAACAATGAAAAGTTCCATCCAGGAAACCTTTTTACCGACATTTCAAGCTCAAATTCAGCTAACACTGTTCAGTATCGGGGTTTAACTCTTGGACCATTGACTGAGCAGCACTTTCTTTATCAAAGCAGACTCTATATTACAATTTGGCTATACCTAAAATTTGTAATTTACAGATTGGACGATTATGTGTTTGCCTGTTACGCGAATAAGCGCTGTGGCCGTTATTACAAGGGAGATATCTAGAGAGATTTTGATTTCTCCTACAGTTATAATGACATACTATTTCTACCAGTTTTGCAGGGTTTCTCTGTTCTCTTTACAATAATACTTACTAACGTATAAAGAAAGAATATAACTTCCAGAAGCAAAATTTTTAGGTCACTACAGCATTTGTATTTATGGCCGTAGGCTGCAAGAATTAGGTTGCTGAGCTGAAGCCCTGTCCCAGATTAAATGCAAAGCCTAATTAAAGACATAAATCCTCAGTTGGGAGTACATGATCGGATTTGGCAATTTTTGGCGACATTTGCGGTGCTACTTTGGTAGACGGTTGCACGGATTTTTGGCGATTTACATTGGCGCAAATGTTGGCGCGGTTTTACAATCGTCGCCCATCTTGAAAAACGCTGTTTTTACGTATTTAACGCATAGTATTCGAAACTTTAAAAAAATAAGTATCATTAAAAATAATGGATTCATTTTTTGTTGAAAACATTGTTTTTTAAGATCGCTGGCAAATGTAAATAAATACATTTACTAAGAGTATAAAATATTAAAGAAAGGCTAAATTATTACTTTCATATAGCAAAGAAATATAATAAAAACACCGCTACAAAAACATTGCGCCAACGTTTAATTGGATTAAAATATTACTTAAAATGAATATCGAATTGAAAACATCATACCAACGTTTAAAAGAATTAAATTACTTAAATTCAAATACCTTAAAATAAGTTTTATAGGATATAATTATTTAACATTAAAACATATGTGGCAATAAATATCTCAGCAATTTTTGAAAACAGTGTATTAATTTTTTAATAAAAATTGAAGTATACAATTATAAAGTAAAAGAAAAATATGTACTTACATTTTTTTGAAAATTTTACCTGTCGTATATTCATAAGTACCACAAGAAATAATCAGAATCATAATTTAGATATCAATGAAAAAAAATTGTCGGTAAAAAAGAAGTCTAATACATTTTATCTAATACATTTAATTAGACTTCTTTTTTAAGTCTAATAAATTCTTAAAAGAAGTCTAATCAACTTTTCTTTTTTTTTTTTTTTTTTTTTTTTTTTCGAATTCTTTTTTTTTTTTTTTTATCATATGTCTAATACATTTTTTACCATTACAGCGGCTATTTCTTCCACCGTGACCAAAATACCATAGACGACCGTCTTCATAATCGGCTCTTTTAACGATCTTCATCTGTGATCCACATCCTCGCACTTCATTGAAGAAGCTATTAGCAAGGTTTCCTCCAAAAATTTAAAACCCTTGTAACAATTTATAAATAAATCTTTGATTAGGAAAGCCAGGTTGGGCAAAATAAGGTCTCAAAGGACAGTTTTTTGATTCGGATACTAATAATTCTTGGTAATTACCAAAACAACATTCATCTTCGAAACGGACATACCAATTCGCTTTGAAATCTAAGGAATTCGAAGAGATGAATAATAAAATTTAAACATGGCGCGGCAATGCACAAATATTCAGTAACCAATCAATTACATCACGCATAGAATTAAAATTATTTAAATAATCATGCATAATAAAATCATTTTAAAAAATGAAAAATTAAAATGTATTTTAATATTTAACAGCCATAAATATGTTTAAAACATGAGATTAAGTTTATAAATATTAAAACCAATTACTTTTAAAGTAAGGTGACGTCATTGATTACATCATCCACAACATAAAATTATATAAAATATCATAAACAATAAAATTTTTATTTCAAATAAAAATGTAAAATTAAATTGATTTTTAATATTTAGAAGCCATAAATAATATTTAAAACAAGGAACTTATGCATAATAAAACGCATTATTTTTTAAATAAAATGACAACAAAGTATCGGTTACCATAAATAACTTCTCCAGCAATGGGTTTACCATAAGTCGTATCGCTCGCCAAAAAAAATCCCCAAAATCCGTGCAACCGTCTACCAAAATTAGCACCACATTTGCCTCTACAAGTAACAAGTTTTTTCATTCATTACTGAAGAAGCTACCATGTTCTTTGGGTCGTCATCTTCATCCCTATCTAACTACATAAATATTTTGCTAAAAGTTGCCAACACCAATCGGAGCTAAATCAACATATTATACAGGAAATCTTGAAAATTTTTTGAGAATTCATTTTAAATTAATTAGAGAAGTAACAATCAAACTAAATATTTTAAATACGAGGGAACACAAATAAAAAGAATATGATTTTATATTAGAAATGTAACATTAACTTTACTGTTATAAAACATCAGAAAACAACTTTATCAAAGTAATGAGTTTCTAACAGATTAAGTATAATGTTAGACTAAGCTTCAACCAAAATTTCTTAAGGAAAATAATTTAAAAACAAAAATCGCTTACCTTTTTCTAAAATATATGCAGTATAATGGGAGTAAAATTTGATTCCAGCTTTCGTCTGCGTTAACATATACCTCAGAAGCGCAAAATTGCATAGCATATTAGAAAAATAAATTGTACTTCCTAATAAAGCAGCCACAGCAGTTTTCGTTGCCAATATCAGCTAACATAATCGCCAAATCTGGAGCATTAAAATATCGCCAAAGGCTTCTTTCGTAGCCGTCTTAAAGAGGAAGTATTAAATAAACGTACTTTTCAAATTTTTCTATTATCTGATTTCTTGTTCCCAGGCAACAGATAAAAGTCATGCTACCAACTTTCAGATAAGGAATATCGACGTCTGCTGTTTTATCAGTTAGTAAGGCTAGTTAGTATACACATTCTCCTAGAGTACGAGTAGTGATTGTGCAAAGGTCACGAGAAATTGTGCTTCTTGAGACACGTGGTAGGTTGGAGTTTTAGAGACATTTTTCAAATGATACTATACTGATAGCTGAGTTTATACAAGATTGTTTCTCAGTAAACAATGCCAAGTAATGTTTCGCAGTCTTTGTCTATACAGGAGAAAAAGAAAAAAAATTTTTTGAATACTTCATATTTTAGCCTAATTGTTAAAAGGAATTCAGCATGAAATTTTTAAAAAAATAATAATAATTTTAACTATAATCCGAAAATTTCAGATTACAGTTTCACATTTCGGAATTTACCATTAAAATTTCAAAGTGTTTATAACTTTTAAAAAATATAAAAATTATTAATTTTAAAAACTTGTTAATTTAATGTTCATATGCCGGTTCCATTTTAACGCCTAAAGCAGTTAGTTTTAAGTTACGAGCTTAGTTTTAAGTTAGAGCTTAGTTAGTTTGAGAATTATTCCTCTGGAGATTCAAAATACAAAACATAAAATCATATGTTTAAAACAAGTTAGTAAGTATGGCAACGACAAATAGCAGAAGGGGAACTTGCTATGATTACCGTTACGTGGAGACTATCAGTTCATTATTAACGAAAAGGTTTAGTTATTCAAGACGTAGTTTTTCGTGTATTTTCTGGGGTCGCTTATGTATGAGACTTACAATAAACATTTCCTTCAATTAGTACTAATTTTTATTTTGTTAGTTTGCCAAATTTGCTAACTGAAAGCAATAAATACTTCCAAAGTGATTTTCTTCAAAATATTAAAAATATGACTGCTACTACCAAGAAGAAGAAAAAAGAAAAACTAGCATTCTGAAAACTGCAAGTTCAGTTCTCTTTGGTAGAGAGTTAGCATTCAATAAGTAAAAATAATACTTATGATTTCTAGCTGATAAAAACCTACCAGGAGCCGAGTGGTAAAGTCGCTGAATTCTAGTAGTTTGGTCAGAGATTCGAATCCCGCGAACGGGCTAGCTGCATGGGCGTTTTCATGGTTTTTCCTTATGTGCATACTAAGGCAGTTTCCCTAGGAAAGTCCTCCACGAAGGCATCCTTCCCTTTAGGAAGATAGCCATACAGTGCTTTACCATAATCAAATAAATCAATTCAGCTGATAGAACTAATTCTTTATTGTTGGATGAAATTAAAACGCAACTCAATAAAAGTTTAATACTTGGAGCACTGATATTTCTGCATTTTCTTTTTTCAACATCAAACCTATGGAAGCAGGTGTGTGTGTGTGTGTGTGATTATGGCAAAGCCTCGAGGGCTATCTGCCTAAGGGGAGGGATGCCTTCGTGGAGGACTTTCTAAGGGAAACTGGCTCATATACACGTTACACATGGGAAAAACCACAAAACGCCCATGCAGCCAGCCCGTTCGCGGGATTCGAACCGAACTACCAGTGTTCAGCGACTTTACCGCTCGGCCGCTGGTGGGCCATATGGAAGCAGGAAGTAATGGTGTGATTATTCATTGTTTAAAAATGATTTTTTGATTGAATAATTTGATTAACGGCGTGTGATTGAGACTAAAAAGATGCATATATATAAGCTTTAACAAAATTACTGAATTAAAAATTAAAAAATTATCTATCATATATTTTCATGGCAACAAGAGATTAAATAATTATCTTTAAAAAATTCATCTACTGTTTTATATCACGAATAATAAAAGCGTAAGCGGCTTATTACATTTTCAAGGGTATAAGGCACTAACTTTCGCCCCCCTCTTTTACTATTCGTGATATGAATTCTTTATGACATAAAACCAAAAACCGTGGGTGCCTAATTGCATTGCAAGGTATAAGCAGATAACTATAAATTTACAAGGACGCCTACGCCTTTATTATTTTTGGTATAAATTCGTAGATGAATTTTGTACAGAGAATTGTTTAATCACTTTTTCCTATATTTTTAATTCATTACTTTTTTTAATAAAATCATATTTTATGAAAACATTTTTAACTTCACTTAGCACATGAAGAAAAGAATATTTGGTACACCTCTATTAAATAAGAGAGATGTAATGAAAATTCTCCTTTTTTAAGATAAAACTAACGTTTAATTCTGGTTTCCAACCCCTATCTCCCACCTTTCTGTCCCTCTCAAACTGGTATAATTATCAGATGATTTTAATAGCAGCAAACTTAAAAAAAAAAAAAAAAAAAAAAAAACTTATTTCTTCGAATTTTATTAGAGGTATAGTCCTACCAGCGGCTTAGCGGTAAAGACGCCGAACACTGGTAGTTCGGCCCGAGGTTAGAATCCCGCGAACGGGCTGGCTGCATGGGCGTTTCCGTGGTTTTTCCCATGTGTAATGTGTATACGAGCCAATTTCCCTTAGAAAGTCCTTCACGAATCCCTCCCTTTAGGCAGATAGCCCTCGTGTGCTTTGCCATAATTGAATAATAATATTCCATTAGAAGTATATTCATTTAAAATTATTCTCACTTTGCGACAACGGAAAAATACATAAAACCTAAAAAAAAAAAAAAAAAAAAAAAAAAATATTAAAAATTGAAAAATAAAAAACGTTAGTATAGTTAAAACAATTTAAAGAACTTTTAGAACTGAAATTAGAATTCTAAGCAAAACAGGCAATTCAGCCAACGGGCAACAAGGTAGATTTTTCGGTGCACATAACTGAAAGTTTACATTTGCTCTTGCTCGGCAAAAAGGTGCAGAAACTGACTTAATTTGTTGTGGACTTTTTGCTGAGTCAATATACAGGCTAATTTAATAACTTATGTGTTAATTCCAGAATGATTTAATTCGCAACAATAAAAAAACATGTTACCTTTGTTTCTACGAAGCTTAGTTTCTCTAGATTGGCAACAAATTCACTACTCTGCTAAGTTTCAAATGTAAACAAATATGGCTGCTATGGTAAAAAAAATTAGGCTTAGCCTCACTTAAACAACTCTTAAATTGCTGATAACTCTACAATTACTACATGTAGGTTAACTAAAGGCATAAAAACCTTAAACGGAAGTAAGAGCTACATAAGTCAACCATTTTTCGACAAAAAGTGCGCAATTTACCAACATATAAGAATCAAGGAACTGAGCTCACTGAGCCGAGTAACAGAGTGGATACATATATATATATATATACATTTATTTTAAAGGTGTTTCATTATTTTCAGCTAAATAGTGCTTATGCCTCTGTCGCAGCCTCTTCCAAAATGCATAGATTTAAATACGCTGTATTGTTAGCATCCTGTATTAATAAATGATACTGAGCAAAAAATAGCTTTTAATACAAATAAACATGTCATAGTTAATGGTAACATAACGTAATAAATAAGCAAAACAAGTTTTATACTTTTCATCTTTGCAAAGTTTACTTGCGTCAAGTACAGTTAATTCTATACTAACCAGCGTTAATTCTATACTATAAGCGGGTTTCTGTCTTTTAAAAAAAAAAAAAAATTAAGCTTGTTAGTTGCGGAACAAAGAAAAATGATAATTATATAATTTTACATACTATTTTTTTCCGATAACAATAGTAACAGATTTAAATTATCAGTAAAGATTTTGCATGGCTAAGATTTCATAACACATGATTGATTCCGATTCGAAGGCAAGGTGTAAGCTGTCGACCTGAAACCGAAATATATTTGTAAGCATCTTTAGAGTTTTATTTCGAAACTTTGATGAAATACTTCTTAGAAATAGAATTTATTTGTACATAAGCTTCTTATCCGTATTATATTATACACCAAACTGTGTAAAAAAAAAGTACAATTAAAATCGAGGAAGTATTGATATTGAATAAACATCACAGATGGCGCCATCACTAGAAAACAATATAGTAGTAATACCTCAAGACTGAAGAAGTAAAAAGCGATTTACATAAAAGCGCTGGGAACGTAATCGTAAAAACAACAAAAATGCACAAAATAACAACTGATAAATAAACATCTTTCCTTAAAATTTCTATAAAAATAAAGCTCTAATTACTAAAATGAAAACTAAAATTTGATTTTATACTCTCCTCTTCGGAATTGTACATGTGCTGCCATCTATTGCTCTTAAATGTAAATTCAAGCGGCAAATATTCGAGAACAATTTTCGTTTGGAAGATGGGAAAATAATTAAACGTTTGAATAACTAAATTTAAAAAATTATAAATTATGGAATATAATTTTATAATAATAATTGCTTTTGTGATTAAAACAGCAAAAAATTCATCGGTAAAAGTTATATTAACACACAAGTAAGGGACCTTAATTTGGCCTTCTTTACATTAATATAAAAATAAAACAGAAGATGATGGTTGGCGTCTCTTTAATCTCACGCTTTCTTTTCAAAATAATCTACTTCAATGTGGTCGATATTTCTCGGTCTGTATTAGTGATCTTTAAATCACTGGCTAAATCTATATGAAATTTCTTTTAATAGTAGCACTGGAAGTACTTTAGCACGCACTGGAAGTACTTTAGCATAGTGACACTGAAGCTTAAAATGAGTATTCCAAGAATAACGCAAATTCGCAGGCAGAACTTTATAGAAAAGTATAAAACACAAACGATATTCTAAATACTTTCAAATTTTTTAAATGAGAGAATTGTCTTACATGTAATGTTAACTGCTAGTTGAAACCATGGTTGTCGATAAATACAAGCTTCCTTAGATCCTTATCTACTTCCAGTCGACTGGGGAGAGACATAAGAACAAATCGACCAAACCTAAAGGATGACGAAATTCTCGTCTACTACATTACTTTCGGGTACCGTTACTACTCGTTATTACTTCGGACACCGTTTACAGAGACCACTAGACCTTTCGGTCACCGTTTGCAGATACATAAAAAAATAAGTGCT